AATCTTCCTTCACTTGAAAAAACATTTCTTGGATTATTTCAGATGCCATTGAAGATGCTCTGAAAGCGGAAGTACTTGGGCAAGATGTAATAAAACACTGTGCTCGATATCTGCCTTTTATTTGATTAAAGAATAGTTTGCAAATTTCTGGAATAGTTTGCAAATAAGATTCAATTACAATAAGTAGTAAAGAGCGACTGATTATGCCAGTTGATGAAAACGCTAAAGTCGCAGTCTAAAGTATTATATTATTATGCTACAACTGATGAATTATTTGATAGAATTCATAATGCGCACTTGGCAATTATGGCGGACACAACCGTATGGTTTCCAAATTAAACAAACTTTATTGTAATGTGACTAAGGAAACAATAATGGGTAAAGAAATAATAAATAAGACTTAAATTCATTTATTTAACTTTGTATCCAGACCTGAAGATGCTTTGCATATTGTAGAAAGCGAAACCGGTCATCTGAATAGTTAAATTAAATTGATTGTAAGTAAGTCTTATTTATTATTTCTTTATCTATTTGAAATGGACTCACACAATCAACACATTGATGATTTGAAACAATAATGATTTACCTATGACTTTGTGGGCAATATCAGAAAAAGAGTAGGAAACCAAAAAAATATTTCAAATCGATTTGATTAACATTCCTTCACAAAATTGTGATGATTTTAGATTTATAATGGTATACCAATACCGTCTTATGAAATTCGTAATCTTGAAATCTTTAAAAACGTAAAAGGCTAAAGAAATTGCACAAAAAAATTAGTCATCAAAAGTTGTTTTAAAAAATAATTAAAACATTATAAATACTTTTATTTATTAATTAACGTTGGCCACTTGCTTTTGGCCACTGTCCTTATTGGCCGAATATTTACGAAAACTCTAATTTTAAGTGATTTTTAACAAGCTATTTTATCATTTTACTTAGTACTTATCTTATTATTATTAAAATTAGGTTTTAGCAAGAATTATACGTATCGTGACCAGGTTGCTATAACTATAGACAATTGTGTTTAAAAATGAGTTGGTTGCATTATTTATCAGTGCATACGCTTTGTAATCCGGTTCAGTGGTTATCTAGAGCTATTCGACGTCATGTTAACCTGTCACACCCAATATAATTTGAAATCCTGTTTATTCGCTTGTAAAAAATGCTTTGATATTTTATAAAATATGGTGGATATATATACCCACACTACTAATAATCTATTACTAAATTTGTTGTACGAAAACTATTGTGGTTTAGTTGACGGTATTAACGTATTAACGTGTCTGTTTCATTAGTGGTATTAAATGTATGACTATCATAATAAATACACAGTGCTTTAAACATTTAAACAACTAAATTATATTCAATAATTAATAGTACACAAAAAGACTATAAAAGAACTGACGATACGAACTGAATTTAGTCAAGAAATAAAAAAAATTTTAAATATTTATATTTGGCACCTCTTTGTGCGCAACCATAATAACAGTCGAGAGTTAGTTATCAACAACAAAAAATATAATAAACAGGAACGAGTGTCTTTCTGACATAAATCAAACATCAAAATAATAATCATTAGTGTCAACATGATTTCTACAAAATTAAATAAAATTAAAATATTGTAATTAAGTAGGTATATATAAATCTATATACTTATATAAAACATGACTGATAAAATAATGTAAATATAATATTATTATGCTGTTTAAATTCTTTAATTTCAAAGATATTTTATGTAAGATTTAAAAACCAATAATATTATATTATGTAAAAAGTTATATGTGTTCCACATATGTCATATGTGGAAATAAGTAGCGTACCAGAAAATCAACTACGAGTAGAGGCAGAGATATTCATAAAAGATTCAAAAACCCATACCAAATCCGATATTAATGAAGATAAAGACGGCATGTTTTTGTGACACTTTAAAAAGAATATGCCAAAGTCTAAAAAACAAGTAGCAAGATTTCAAATTAGAGTATAATAGAAGGTCCAAAAAACATCATTTCTCCAGATAATTTTTTCCTATTTTTTGATGATAGAGTTGTTCAGATGCTTGTTTAATTTTCAAATATGAATGCGATATTACATTAAACGAAATTAAGTGTTTTATTGGAATTTCATTAAATAGTGGATGTATGAGTGTTCCTAGGTGATATATGTACTGGGAAAAATCCCTGACTCTACTCACGACCTTACAGCTAATGTCATCTCTAGAAACCTTTTCAAATTTGTACAAAATATTCATTGTTGTGACAATGTAAAATTTGAAACACAGGACAGATTTTTAAAGGTTCAACCTCTGATTGACGTAATAAATCAAAAATTTCTCGATTTAGCACCAAAACTTGGATGAGTCAATGGTTTCGTATTATGGAAAACATATAGCAATTCAACTAATCTTGGAATGAAGTAATTTATGGAGAAACATGGTATCTTATACTTTCCCTCCAACATTATCTCTGCATACATTAAAGACCAAATCTCCCTATGAAGTTCAGCTGTTTTCTGATCCAGAATGAATGAGAAGTTCACCATACATGTATGATAATAAAAACATATTTTGAATTGAGTGCTGTGAAAAATTTTTTCAACAAAATTAAGCAAATGTTTACTAAAAATAACTATTGAAAATTAAATAAAACACTAAATAGCTTTTTTAAAAATTCTTTATTATTTGTTAGAAATCTGGGAAATAAAAGAAGGGGGAGAGAGGTCTTATTGGTACAATGGCGAAGGAAAAACCCGTCTAAGCCTTGCGTAGGACCCAGTACATCCCAATTAAAAATATAACTTTAATAAAACAGTTTATAAATAACATCATTACATGGTTTTAAAATTCAGACCTAATCTAAGTATGTGTTTGGGAAAGTATGTGCGAATTCTTTTCGTATTTTACAGTAATGTTTTTTCTTTTTACGGTCCTGTAATGTGATCTAATTTAATGCTGCATTCTAATGACCTTTTTAAAATATATTATTTCCTGTTATTTCGTAAAACTTAAACTGGCTATTTCATTTATCATGTTTGAAGTACGGAGAATTTGGCTTCTCTTTTGTATGGGTCAAAAATATACACACAAGTGTAAAGTGTCGTATTACTGCAGCAATTAACTTTAAACTATCGCCATTCAAAATCGTCCGACAATAGAATGATTTATTGTTACACACTCTCGGACCACCACTTAGAGGGTTATTTAGCTTTGACCATCTCAACTTTACTTCTTCGTAACACAGTGGACGAAACGCACCACATTGACTGGTTTTGTGTGAATCGCCTCGGCGGCCGTGCCGGGCGTCGGTACCGCGACCAACTCTTCAGCCTGGTACGAATACATGAATAGAACCAAAGGGTAAGTCTATGTTCTTTGTACAAACAACGATAATGAGTAGAACCAGATAATTTATTCACAATTGATAGTTGCTATTTTCGCTAATTTTATGTACAAACAAATATTGCATCTTTTCTTTATAATTATTTATTCATTATAATTTAACCAGCGACCTCTCAAGTTTAATCCTAAACAGTATGCATACATTATAATCTTATAAGAAATTTCACTTTATTTAATAATCAAGTAAAATATATAATATTGTTAAATTAACTTACTTTCGATTTATCTAGCGAAATTTTAAGGCAAAGTGTTTACGTTATATTTTTTGTGATTTTTTAATTGTTAAGAAGACACTTGCGGTTTATTTTCATTTACCCTGACTATTATATTGCATTCTATAACCGAGAAAACATTAGTACTTTATATTTGCTCCAAAATACGGGAAAGTGTAAACCAATGGACTTATTGTCTTATTATTTTATTGATACTTATTGACTTGATTTATTGACTTATTGACTTATTGTTTTATTACAAAAATAATAGACCTAATATTATTTTTGTTATTTACATATGTATTAGGATTTAACCACAGATTCTGTTTGTAAAAACCGGAAATCGATTTGTTTAAAATTTTAGTCAACAGCTTCAGTTTTACACTATGTAGCGAAATTATATGTCACATTTACCCCGGTTCACATTATCTCTAAAAATTAAACTTACACTTCTGTCCTAACTTGTCACAAATTTCTCAATTCGAGTCTATGTTTCCGTTTAAAATATGGCAATCGCGTACTGACAAAGGCGGTATCTGAGAGTGGGCATTCTGATTGTTATTTATTCTGTGAGTTAGTAATAAAAACAGTGAAGACAATATTCTTGAACGTTGTAGATCATTTCTGGAGTTATATTATCCATACTTAGCCATAAAACATATCAAAAATATGTAAGACAGTTGGAAATATTATTTCATTGTTTCTGGTTATTATCTCTTTAAAATCTTCAAAAAATTTGCTAATGTATTGAATTTATTTAATTATAAGAGATTTTGTACTTTTGTTAATAATATCAATTTTTTGATGACTGACAAGAGATGACCCACTTAACCAGAAAATATTCTGTTATAGGATATATTCAATTTAATATTACAAATGTATTGTAATGGTATTCAGGATATTTGTCAGGAAAATCAGGCATGTATCCCAAAATTGAAAACTTTGACTGACCACTTACTTTTACACTAATACGGAATTAACATTCGAAAAGGTTTTTTTTTGCTCTGTATTGAAAATTTTTTCAATTTAATCGTAATTGTAATCAATTTAGTCTTTTAAATTTTTAAAAAATATTACGTTTTTAATAAAAAATTATGTTTAAATATATTATATAAATACAGTATATTGTCAACGTCAATCCATGTTTATCATGCCATCCAGCATGGTGAATAAATTACTATCAACCTGGTTATCTACTTGATTTCATGGCCTTCTCAAATTACGGTAATATCACTCAATACATATCTCCCTACATAATTTCTATTACGAACTGAAATCAGTTTTCTTACAAATCTAAACATGTTTTTATATAATTAAGTAAAGTTTGACAAAGAATACACACTAACACTATTGCTTTCAAGAATTCATAATAATATTGTTTTTTGTTTCAGCCATGTCCAGACTCGCACGAATTTAGAGAAGATCAATGCGCTGCCTATAACACAATTCCACTAAATGGGTTGCTCTACGAGTGGGTACCGCATTATACCGACGATGGACCTTGTGCTTTAACTTGTAAGGGAAAACCAATCGATCAAGAAGAAACTGATGATGACTTTGTTATGATAGTCGAAACTTTATCGAAGAGAGTACGAGATGGTACCAGATGTCGACCGGGTAGTTTAGATATGTGCATTGACGGAAAATGTCAGGTAAATAAAATCATAACTAGAAGTTTTTTAACTATTTATGGACTTACAGTTTTTTATAAAATAATAATACAATAATTTTTCATAAAACATAATCTTCTTTGTGTGCCGTGTTTGTTTTCAAGCGTTGGCTATCGTCGTATTAACAAGCTGATGAAATGTTTTTCGGTCGGCAACTAGATGGAATAATTCCTTAATTGTTTGACATGTCCAATGTTACGCAGCTTCACAGTTGTTTTTTTTTTAACTAAAGTTTTCCTTCGATTTTGCCCTAAATGATCAACCAGAGAAAGCGATATTTAGGTCCGCTGATTATATGACTAAAGTATTAGACCTTTACATATAATATCTTTTATAAAATATCTATCTATCTATACAGCCCTTGTTGTCCAATTTTGGACATAGGCGTCCTCTTCCTTCTTGCGTGTCTCTCTATTGTAGGCAGATTTTATCCACTTCGGGCCTGCGTGTTTATTCAAGTCATCTGACCATCTCATTTGTGGCCTACCTCTTTTTCGTTTGCAACTATATGGTTTCCAGTGTATAATCATCTTATTCAATCTGTCGTCTTTCTGTCTTATGGTATGCCCAGCGAACTTCCACTTAAGTTTTGCTATCTGCGTTGATACATCGGTCACTTTTGTTTTGTATATTTTTTGTACATTGTATTGTATATTTTGTATATCCTACTCCTTAGTGTTGAATAACGACCGGTCTTACCCTACGCGCGGACAAGGTTTGAGTGGGATCGGTTGGAGCGGGGGCTCGCTATGTTGCCAGCAGTCTTCTAGCATCGCCGCACGTGTTTAACCTGTTAGGCCGTTTTAAATTTTGATAGTTTCAAGATTAATTCTCGACAAAATCGAGAAAATTCTTAAATCAAGATGAATAAAGGCAATATTTACCCCTTTAAAAAAACTTTTTTGTTCGATCAAGCAAAAACAACATTCCAAATGAACAGCACTCGTAGAATCCAAAATAGGATTTATGAATATTTTCTTTTGAACCAGAGCTAAACAGTTTTAGCTCTAGATCAATCCCATCTTCATGCAAGACACAAAATTGATTTTGAAAACTCCAGAATCATAGCCCCTATCCGCTTCTATTAACTAAGAATTATCCGAGAAGCCATAGAAATTGAAATTGTCCAAATAAAAGGCCAAATTGTCCCAATAAAAGAGACGACGGTTACCTTCGACATGGAGGCCTCTCATAAAGAAAATGTTGTCTGCTTCACCCGCCAATCAAAATGCTACTGTCGGAAATGTTAACTTCAACCCTTGCCTTAATCCCCATGCCAATCACCGTGCTAACCCTAACACCATCCTCCATCCAAACCACACCACGTCACCATCGACGGTATAAATGCACCGTCCTCTATGTTCCCAGTACCAGTAGTGAATTGATTAGTGATCAGTGTAGAAGTTTCTGGGGATCGAGAGACAATGACCTCGGACAAAGAGGATGTCGGAAGCTCGGCGCAATGATAATCGATGTATATATATATATATATATATATATATATATATATATATATTATATATATATATATATATATATAGATACATATATATATATATATATATATATATATATATGTATATATATATATAGATACATATATATATATATATATATATATATATATACATATATATATATATATATATATATATATATATATATCCCTAAAAACTCTGTAAAAAAAGTAATGGCTCATTGAGATACTGATCGTATAATACTGGAATTATCTCTAATATATACAGTTTCGAATGTCATTATTATAAGATCTAAAACATCTGGTACAGCACAGATCTATTACAGATCGTGCAGAATGGATAGCATATCTGAAACGAAACTGGTGTGAAGACATGGTGAGAATCAATAACGCTAGATGAACTGAACATCAGTGTTATGTATACATTAAAACAGAATACAATCGTCTCTCAGCTTCCATAAGGCTAGAGGTCAACAAGTTAAAACAACATCAGTGAAGATGAGTTACGTCTAACCTGGATCACAGAAATGGTAAAAAATTCTGGAATAAATTTAAAACCCTAAACAAACAAAATTCAAGTCTTTACTTATATCTCGTTATGGATAATGCAATCATATCAAACCCATTAAAACCCCCCCCCCGCCCCCGCACTACGGAGATCATAATATTCAACATCCAATTATGGCCCTAGTGCAGGAGGACACTGTAAGACCCAGAGAGTATAATCCCGCTGCTTACTAACATTTCAATTCTTGCCTTGTATCTGAATCCTACTCCTTGTAAAGTGAACAGTTCAACCATGATCCCTAAACCAGAGAAACTGAATCTTGAATGGGTGAACCAGGCACCCATCTATGAAAGTTCCCTTCCTCCCCGCCAAACTTCTCAACTTGGCACGAAACGAACTTTCTGATGAGTACTTTAACATCCTAGAAGCGAAGCCAATAAGATATCGTAGATGGTGACAATCTAAATGCTTAAATGCTCAACCGAAAAGAGCTGTTCTCATAGTATGGATGGCACTCGTGAAAGTTACCCCCTCAGAACAGCAAGGCATGACATTAACCATTCTCATCACCAACAATAGGTGGTGCAGCGTAAAACATTACGAAACAACACACACACACTGACTGACTACTGCTTTTAAGCATGCCACTCGTCTATCTTTATTCCCGAAACAAACACAACTGCAATCGCAGACTGGCATCTGCTCTTACCATCTGTCTCCCTGGCAAGGAAGCCCACACCTTGAAAAGGTGTCCCACCTGAACAAGGTATAAATAACGTTGTTCATTCATTTAACACTAAGCACATAATGCAATAAGCAAGAATAGGTTTTAAACATAAAAAATATAGAACCGCTTTATTTTTGTTTAAAAAATGATTCCTTTAAAAGGTATTTTAGGTAATTGATTATCTAAAAACACAATAATAATAATAATATTAAGTAGGCAGTATACATTTATTTTGTAAAAATGAAGTAATTCTGCATCAAAAGAAAATCTTCGTGCAATTATTAACTGACAATATATATTGGTGATTTTGTGTAAAAATATATTATAGTTTGATACGAGTACACTTCAATACGTTTATTTTCTTTCGAAAAAGTTTTATTAGCTCAAACTTATTTTCTTCCAATGGCATCTTGAAATATTTATTGTTCCGTATTGTGGCTACAGTAAACATTTTGGAAGGAAAAGAAAGCTTATCTGAAGCCAAAGAAGCTTCTTAATGACGATAGAAAAGCGATGCGACGTGAAAAGCGATGTGGAAAAGGGAAAGTGTGAAAATGTCGGAAAATGCATCCGGCATCTTATGGCGGGAGCTGTCCTACTTCTCGATACACTTCAAACCTCTCATTTATTCATCACCCTCGTCTCAAGGGTGTCAATCCCTGACAAAAAACGAAATGGTTTTGTTAGCTCACTCTCATTATTGCCATATACTCAGTGTTGAATATTTCATACTTTGAAAGGGTTTGCTGAAAGAAGTACTTCACTTGTTTATTATTGGAACAGATTGACGTTTCATGAAAACTGATTTCTGTTTCTCTATTGAACAGTTTTTTATATTAACATAAAGTTAAAATAGTTGATATATTAGAGCAGGTTAGTTAATAAAAATAATAAAACAAAAAAGAAACTTATTAGAGGAAAAATTTAACGATTACACAATAATCTACAGTAGAGTAAATCAAAGCGAAAGTGCTCGCTGCTAGACAAGCAGTTGATATATTATACAATAAAAGACTACTATTACATAAATACACGGATAGTAACAAATGAAAAACTGATAGAGACATGATTACAATTATTGACGTTTTTGCTAAAGATGAACGTAAAAGGAAGAAACAGTATATTTAGATGTACAACATCACTTTAAATAACACTAGAGTTCGAATTTAATTACAGTTTTAATGCCATGATCAACTATTTCACTAACTATTGTTCACTTGACTGCTTCTTTATTTTCTAGAGTACCTACATTATGATAGGACTCAAATTATTACAATATCGGTGTTTTTTGGTGTAATATACCTATCTAATTTAGTTAGATAGGTAGCTACTGAATTGTTAGAATGGAGTTTAATAAGTTAACCACTGCCAACCATGTCAACCCTCTCCGGAGGGTTGACATGGGTCAACCGGAGAATTCTGTCTCCGGCTTCTGTACAATATGTAGCTTCTCCATATAAATTTTTAAAGTGTTTGTTTGTCTTAGTGTATTGTATTTTGTATTGTTATGTCCAAATTTTACATTTATGACATTCTACTATGTCGGATAGGCCACAATTGACGAAATGCCCCTGAAGATGATCTATTGATCGAAAGTACTTGGGCAAGATTAAATTAATCACCGTGTTCGATAGTTGCCTTGTATACCCTCAAAGTTTAATTATTCGAACATTCAACCCTCTTCTTCTTAAGGTTCCATCTTCTAACGAAGGTTGGATATCAACATGGCAATTCTTATTTTACTTACAGCAGCTCTAAATAGTTGGCTAGAGCTCAGACTAAACCATTCCCTTAGATTTCGTAGCCAGGAGGTTCGTCTTCTTCCTACATCTCTTTTACCTTTTATTTTGCCCTCTATAATCAAACGTAGTAGCCCATAACGAGGACCTCTTAATATATGACCGAAATATTCAAGTTTCCGCCTCTTAATTGTCTGTACAATTTCTTCCCTCTTATTAACCCTATCAAGGACTTCAATATTGGTAATTTTGTCTACCCATGCTATTCGTAGCATCCTTCGATAACACCAACGCTCAAAAGCTTCCAATTTCTTAATCTCCAGTTGTTTCAATGTCCATGCCTCAGATCCGTAGAGCAAAGTTGTAAAAATGTAGCAGCGCAATAACCTTATCCTTAGATCCATTCTTAGGTCTCTACTACACAATAGATGTTTCATTTTTACAAATTTTGCCCTTGCTATTTCTATACGGCTTTTAATATCTTGCGTTTGTTCTGCGTTTTGACTAACCAATGTTCCTAGATATTTGTAT